AGAAGCTTTTGATTTGATTTCATAATTTTTATGTGTGTGTGTGTGTGTGTGTGTGTGTGTGTGTGTGAGAGAAAGAGAGAGAGAGAGAGAGAGAGAGAAAGAGAGAGAGAGAGAGAGAGAGAGAGAGAGAGAGAGAGAGAAGGGGGCGTTGTTTGTGCGGCGGAGTGCAGGAGTTGAACTATATAATCAGTGCGGACATGTCGAAAGAAGCGTTTGATTTGATTTCATGTGATTTTTTATGTGAGAACGGGAGCTCGAGGATATAGAAATGCTAATGGTGTTATTTGGTTTGTTGAATGGCGAATATTACGACCGCCAATTACTCGGACTGGAAGAGCAAGGACAAGGTATTGTTGTCTTCGGTCTGTCCCCTTCTCTCTCTCTCTCTCTCTCTCTCTCTCTCTCTGTGCTCCTACTTGTCAAGAGTTCTCGTTGTCAGTCGTTGAGTTAGAGGCTGATCCGACTTCTCTTCTTTTCGGGGAGAACCAAAAAGAGCCCCATTGGGCGGGCCGGCCCCCTGAGGAACGGGAAAGTGGGTTCGGATCCCACTTGGTTTACGATTTTGGTGGGGGCCCAAGCGGAAAGGAATGTGCTGTCACACAGGAAAGGACCACGTGGCCCACTGGACATTGGACAAAAGGACCACGTGGCCCACCCGACATTGGAGAAAAGGCCCACGTGGCCCACCGGACATTGGAGAAAACGACCACGTGGCCCACCGGACATTGGAAAAATAAAATAAAAAATGCTGGCCTTCTTTTTAGGAGCAGGGTCTGCTGTCCCCCCCTCGTCTTTTTGTTTTCGGTAGAACTACTGCCGCGTCAGTCGCGGTCAAACTGCCACGTAGACATTGGAAAAAAAAAAAAATCCCGGCCGAAAGAAAAAAAAAAAAAAAAGAGCAGGGACTGCTGTTTCCACTCCCGTGACTCCCCTCCTTAAAAAGAGGGAAGAAGTGGGATCCCAGATAATGTCACTTTCTCCCTAAAAAGAATAGTCCGATCTCCAATGGCTCTTAGGGCCTACTCACACAGCCATGGCATGGGCAGCAAATCTGCAAAATTTGCAATATCTCTTTTGGTGGAATGCTGCCCTGCCCGGTCACACAGCCGGAGCAAATAAAAACAGGGGCCTCGGCCCACATGCCATCGAATATTATAGTTGGCCTCGGCCCATCTGGCGTCGAATATTGTAGTTGGCCTCGGCCCATATGCCATCCAATATTAGTTTTTTAAAAAATTATTATAGTTTTCTATCACAAATAAAAAACGACACGAACGTGCCTCGGCCCATATGCCATCGAATAGTATAATTTTACCCTTTTTTTTTATTATTTAAAAGGGCGATGGCCTTGAGGTATTATCATCGGATTAACCAGCCCAGGTAAATTCAATCTTGTGTCTAATTTGACAACGGTGGCCTGATAGCCTTAGGGTGGCCTGATAGCCTTAGGGTGGCCTGATAGCCTTAGGGTGGCCTGATAGCCTTCAGGGAACCCCCAACGGGGGGCACCGGCCAGGGGACAGCCGGTGGCAGAGGGACAGAGCATCATCTGAGTGGCCAGTTGCTGTGCCTCCCCCATTACCCCTCCCCCTATGAACATCAGCAGAGCCTGCTTTTTAATGCCAATTATAATTTTAAATCAGTGTCACAGTGTGGGACTGTTACGGGAAAAAAAACAAACAAACAAAAAAAAAAAAAACGTCGACTCTGTTTGATATGGGAGGTGGGATGATGCATCCTGCCATTTAGGGCAGGGAGCCCTAAGGCTTCCGTTTCTCATTGTTTTTTCATTGCCTTAGGGGCAGATCCCACTTCTTTCCGTTTTCGTAAGAACGTAAAAGTGCCGCTAAAGGTGGAGGCGCAGCGCACGGACCGTGAAAGAAAAACGCAATCCCACATGCCCTACTTCTGGATTTTTCCTAATGGAGCGGCACTATCTTGTGGTGGCTCAAGGATCCAACGGCCTGCAGATCAGGAAAAAAAAAAGAAAGAAAAAAACAAGGTCTCCGTCTTTCACGGTTCAAGGTTGGGGGTGGCCTCTTCCAAGAATAGGATGAACCTCAAAAAAAAAAAAAAAAAAAAAAAAAAAAAGAATACGATGAACTACCGCCCCTGCAATCACACCCGCGCCTCCACGAATGTGAACGTTTCCAATTCCCCGACGTTCCGGGAGAGGATCCGAGTTTTCTGGAAAGAAGTGGGATCCCAAATTTTGCCAAAAAGTGCCCTGCCCTACTTATAAGAAGTGGGATCCGCCCCTTAGGGGTTCCCTGCAAAAAGGAGGGAGAACGAAGGTAGTATGGTATGGTATCCACTTCTTTTGGGTGTAGAATACTACTCTTGTTTTCCCTCCTCAGCTGGCTGCATGTCAGTCCGTACACCCAAGAACTGTTGAAATGCAGACCACATTTCTTTTAGCGTTTTCCTTTTTCCTTTTTCTTCTCGCTCTTTCTTTAGCATTGGCCTGGAAGTATAATAGCATGGGCTGAATCTTCATATTGTAAAAGAGAGAAAAAAGACAGAAAAAAAGCATGGGTGGGTTCTAGTAAAGAGTATTGGTGAATCTCTCTCTCTCTCTCTCTCTCTCTCTCTCTCTCTCTCTCTCTCTCTCTCTCTCTCTCTCTCT